ACAAAAGCCTCAAAAGAAATAAACAAAGAAAACAACAACAACAATGCAAGAATAAAATTAATGAGGACAAAGTCCTCTAAAAGAAAAATTATAAAGAAACTGAAGAAATTGAAGAAGGCATTAGAAGATGGAAGGCCTCACAGGTTTAGGGATTGGGTAAATTAATACTGTGACAATGACCATATTTCCCAAATGCAATCCCCTCAAATGCTATGTCACTATTCCCAGAACTAGAAAAATAACCCTACAATTCAGATGGAAACAAAAAAATCCTCAACTAGCCAAAGGAATCAAAGCTGAAAGTATCAAAATGCCCTATTTCAAAATCTGCCAGAGAGCATTGCAACAAAAACAGTGTAGAATTGGAATAAAAGTAGACACAGTGGAACACAAGAGAGGACACAGAGCTCCAGCCTTCTCTTTTTAAGCAAAGGTACCAAAGACTGCTCACACACACACACACACACACACACACACACACACACACAAACACACACTACACCCTCTTTAAAAAATAATCCCGGGAAAACTGTATATCTGTATGTAGAAGATTGAAACTAGATTCCTATCTTTCACCCAGTACAAAAATCAACTCAAAAAGGGTCAAGACCTTAATGTGAGGCCTGAAAGTTTGAAACTAGTAGAAAGCAACAGAGGGAAAATTTCCCGATATATGTGCAGGTAAAGACTTCCTGAATAAAAATAATACACTCAACAAATGGGATTGCATCCAATTAAAAAGCTTCTGGGGGCCAGGGATTTAGCTCAGTGTTTCCGCTGCCTGCCCCACAAGTTCAAGGACCGGATTTCGAACTCCGGTACCATCTCCCCCCGCCAAAAAAGCTTGTGCACAACAAAGGAAACAAGACTGAAGGGGAGAATCACTTCCAGATATTCTTTTGACAGAAGGTTAATATCCAGAATATATAAAGAGCTCAACAGATTGAACAACAAAAGAACAAGTAATCCAACCAATAAATGAACGGACAGACACTTCTTGGAACTATAAATGGCCAGTAAGTATATGAAAAAAAATGTTCAACATCTTTACCCATAAGGAAAATGTAAATCAAAGCTACACCGAGATTCTATCCCACCCCAGTCAGGATGACTGCAAGACTGTATAAAAAAAATAAATTCTGCTGAGGGCGTTGGTGGGAATGGCTATGAGGGCAGCCGCTACAGAACTCTATATGGAGGGTTTTCAGAAAATCAGAATCAAATTGAAACTACCACCAGATCCACCTACATCGCTCCTTGGTGTATGTGTGAAATTAAAGTCAGCATATTGAAGCTTCGAGCTCTGCTGGTCACAGCACTAGTCATGAGAGGTAAGGCACAGCATCAGCCTACATGCCCATCCATGGATGACTGTATGAGAAAACGTGACCTGTACGCCCAAGGACATATTATATGCTTGGAGGCTGAGGCAGGAGGATTCTAAGTTTGAGCCTTGCCTCGGAAGAATAGCAATTTAGTGAGACCCTGTCTCAAAATTTAAAGAATGAACTGGGATGTGACTTAGTGGAAAAGCCCTTGGTTAAATTCACAGTAGAGTGGCGGGGAAGCCAAAACCAAAACAAAAAAAAAATGAAATAATGCCATTTGCAAGCAAGTGGAACTGGAGATCATGTTAAGCAAAACAATCCAGACTCAGAAAGACAAATCTGATGCTTTCTCTCTTTTGAAGGATCTATAAGAAAAAGTTAACATGAGGGGTCAGGGATTTGGCTCAGTGGTTCTGCCACCAGCCTCACAAGTATAAGGTCCCAAGTTCGATCCCTGGTACCACCCACCCCCCAAAAAAAGAAACAGAAGAAGTTAACATGAAAATAGAAGGGACACTATTGGAAAAGAAGAAAGGAATCAGAGGGAAGGGGAGGGGCAGCAATGGAAGTGGAGATGGGCGAAGAAACGATCAAAGTATGTTATATGGGTGTACAAAAAGGAAAGACAAAGGAAACTGTGATTACAGTGGTCATTTTCATATAATCTGAGATTATCTCCCCAAGTTCAGATTCTTAATGGCATCGGCTAAACCACTGTTCCATGAAAGGTCACAGGTCCTAGGGGATTTATATATTGCTGTCTTTGGCCATGGGTCCAGTATTCAGCTTAATCTATCACCCATCTCTTGGCGTCCCTGAAAATGATTCCAACTGGTCCCTGGGTGTTAGGGTCTCTGACTTCCATTCTGGACTTGCTTTCCCATGTAATAATTGCATCTTGCCACTGACAGTCAAGCACAACAGCTGGCCCCTCCTCTTCTGGAACCAAAACTTCACAATGAGACACCACATAGCTCTGTCTATGCAGCTGTCCTGAAGGTACACTCAGCTACTCTCATGTCCTTGCTAGCAACGTCCTTTCATTCAAAGATTAAAGAAGTGTTCTCTGGAATCTCCTGGGAGATAAATTTAATGATGTTTCTGGTTCTAAGCATTGAATCAATCCAAGGACTTCTCAAAGCCTCTCTCCCTCTTTTCTGAAAAATTTGATATTTCTATCTCTCACTGTTTGGCCAGTGCTTCTCCCAAGTTTAAGACATCTAGATTCCTTAGGAAACCTAGGGCATCAAATTCCAACTCACTGAAGAGTTCTCCTGTACAACTCTATTACTTTTTCCAGCCTCAACTGATTCCCCTTCCCAGTCTGCCTGCTCAGATACCCTGTAAGGCATTAACTGGGTTCCTGTCAGTAGATACCAGCGTCATTGCAGAAGTTTTCGCAAATAATTTCTTTGCTACCAAAATAAGAACAGTACTTTCCCAGGCAGGCCATGCTGGGATTTGACCCTTGCTTTGTGTCTATAAACTATATATAAAAAAAGTAGGGTCAAGTCATGACGGAGGCAACTACCATCTGTGAGGCCTCGCACATGAGGTCACTGCATGGTGCTGAGGTGGTGGGGTTGGTTGACCACCCTTGAACGTTGGTGAGTGAGTGGCTTCAGGAGGCCCAGATGGTTGTGTAGGGTATGGGCATCTGAGCACATCCACTACAAGGTCTTTGGTTCCCATTTTCTTTCTTTAACAGGGTCTTGAGTTTAACATAGTAAATTTGGCAGGCCTGTGTAGTTAAGTTTTCTTTGCTCCTCTCACAATCAGGCCTGCTTTCTAGCCTCTGGCTGTATTGGATGCATATATCATAGAGGTTTTCCTTTTTTCTTTTCTTTCTTTTTTATTTATTTTTATTTTGGTACTGAGGACCCAGGTTGATGACTGATGACTTGGGCTCACTATTTTCTTTTAAGAAAATTGTATTTACAAGCAAAGTATCATTTGTGCAGTTTTTTTATTTATTTTTTTTATGACAGTCACTGCCTCCATTTCTCAACTGCTGGAAACATTGTACAAACTCACTGCAAACCTTTCTCTTGTAGCCAATCCCAACCCGCTGCAGATGATTTCCCTCGTTAGTAACGATCCTTTAGCATGCTGAGCGCTATCACATCCCAGTAGCCACTACTAACAAAGACTTCGTTGCTGTCTCATTTAGGAGTGGTCCAATCCAGAAATCCATCTTAAGTACTCTGGGTCCTTTCAAGTATAAATTATCTTAGTTCAGGTTCTCTCAAATTAGATCATTAGAGGAGGACCAAAGTTCTGGAGAGTGGGTAGTTGTTACTTTTAAATTACTTACTAAACTATAAATAATTACATGTTTTTATTTAAACATCTGGTAACATGCACGAGATCATTTCATAATTATTTTTAAATTATTTCCCCCATATGTGCTACATGAAAAACCGAATTCCAGATGAATCATAGGGTGAAGGTAAATAAAGTGAGACTGTAACTGGTTTCAGGCTCAGTTGGAACAACCACTTTAAAAAACAACATACTCTTTGTTGCTAATATTAGAAAGCTCACAAGTCTTCTGAAAGTGTGCAGAGTTCAGACTTTAATTCCAGAAGCTTCCCATTCTCCTCAACACTGTGGCTGCTGGCTCGATTCCATCTGCTGTTGGAATTTCTAATGTGCGTGCTGTGAAAAGCATGGCATTCCTACCAGCGATGGGCCCTATATTTAGCTACCTCTCCCTGCAAAATACTGCCTGTGTTATTCGTGCCCTGTTTGTCTGTCTCTACCTGGGCCATCTCCATGCCCTGATGTTACAGTGGGCAAGTTGACCACCTTTGCCCTTTGGAGAGGTAGAGTTTGCAGGTTCAGTTTGAACAGGAATGCTCACTTGGTGCCACTCTCAAACGTCCTCACGGCTAGCCGGGTGCTTTATTCTGCTTGAGTCAAGCTCATTTGCATGTTTGTTTGTTTGTTTGTTTGTGACAGGTTCTCACCATGTAGTTGAGACTGACCTGGAACTCACTATGTAGCCCAGGCTGGTCTCGAACTCACAGCGATTCTCCTGCCTCAGCCTTCCGCGTGCTGGGATTACAGGCATGTGCCACCCCGCCTGGCAAGCTCATTTACATGTAATCTATGTTATAATACCCACTCCTTCTCATATGTCACTCGACATGCAAGAATGGACAAATGGTTAAAGTAGTTTATTTTTATAACCAATCTTTAATCACCAAAAAGGAATGGGAGTTCAACCAAGGGTATTATTTATTGACAAAAATTTATTGACAAAATAATTCATCAAAGATTCATGAACAAATTGAAACTGTGAAAATAAAAACTAAAAACCAACCAAGGTAGACAAAGAATGCCTGTGGGTAAGGAGGAGTTTCTATTTTGGTTTGCTCACATTAAGCAACATCACTACAACTAAGGATTTTACTTCACAAAAGGAAACTAAGACGTAATGTTTTAAGTCACTTCAAAGGCTCCTGTGAGACGAGTGTCATATGGGGTAGGTGACTCCATCTCCTGCCAAGACTTGTTCACTCTGGTACCTGTTCCCACAACTTCATTTGCTTCCCAACTTGGACCTGTCTGTTTTCCTTCTCAGCTACCATAACCTGGAGCTCATCTTGTTTTATACGCATGGTCTGTGATTTCAGCACAGTGTTCCTTCCTGTTTGGGCTTGATGTCTGCTGAACCCTTTGGCTCCATGCCCCTGACCTTGGGTGGTTGGTACTCTTGAGTTTCTCTGGCTCCCTTCCCATAGCAAGTGGGGATTCTAAACCACAAAAGAAGACACTGCTTAAAAATGTTTTGCACTTCATTTCAAATATTAAAATAAAATGCAATATTATACTTTTAGAACTGGGAATTTCTTGATTCACTACATATCTGACATTTAGCAAGGAGACATTGTGAATTATTTTCAGTATTATGTAAAAATATTTTGAAACCTGATACCAGCATTGAATGAAAAATCTACTTATAATGTCCTTTTCCTGCCTGATGAACTTGAGGCAGATTTTAGTGGAAATTTTCTATTATAGGTTTCTGGTCTTACTCCAGAGCTTTTGGGTTGCAAATTATATTAGATATTTTATACATAATCATAATTCTATTTACTTGGAGAACTTTTTTCACTATTCCTAGAGGTACATCCTAATATTTTTTCACTTTGTAGAAACTGGCAGGTTTTAAGTAGAAAGATGTCACTTTATTTAAAGGATTGCTGGGCATCAGTAATGACTCCATAGACACTCCATGTAAGTGTCCAGGCAGGACCAAAATGGACTCAAGATTTTAACTTGGGATAGATTAAGATTGCTGCAGTGAGGCATACCCCCAATTAGAAGAGCCAATTCAGAATATGTATGGAATTATCAGCAACGGTAGGCCAGGAAGGGCTTGGCCATGGGGGTAGATTGGAAGAAGGGGTGACGTTACTCACTGTTCTATTCTGTGTGTGTGTGTGTGTGTGTGTGTGTGTGTGTGTCTTTGTGTAAGGGGGACATGTGAAGTTTGTAAATCAGGAACACATTTTGCCATGAGTCTGTTGGACAGATGCGGAATAGATAAATAAAACTTAGTGTAAAGAGAACCAAGTTGGTGTTAGGGGTACACTGATAAAAGAAGAACTATGTAACCAAATCTTTGCTTTAAATGAGTGTCCAGGAAGCTCCTTTGCTAATTCAACTATAACAAATCAGGGGGAGTTTTCTTGAATTGGTTCAGCATCTCCTGTAAATAAACTTCTAGCTCTGTTTTTGAAGAGGGTGGATTCATCTCCTTTAAATGAGCTTCACACTCTGTTTTTGAAAAGCGGGGATTCAAGGGGAGAGGCTGGTGACCTCTAGAGTCCAGATGATTCTTTGAGTCACCACAGTCTGATCAGTTCTCTGAGGCCAAGAGTGAATTTTCCACAACCGGCCCCAGGACACTCTATCATGAAAACTAGCTGGTATTTGGTCTAGTGGCATGTTTGTGGTGGAATGTCTAAATGGCAGGAGAACTCCAGCTGTGGGACCTGGAATATATTTTTGCCATTCTGTGAGGGATCAGAATTCCCATACTGAAAACATATCTATGAGGGCGTGAACTTGATTTTCTTCCTATCATTCAGTAGTCCAGGGTGAGGGTTGGCTAAGAATATGTCTTCCGGGCAAATCATGGTATTGTATCTGGTGGGTAGCATGAAGAAGCGATGATTAAAAAGCAACAGTTTACAAAGTGCTTTCACTTACATTTTCACAATAATTCTGTGAGGTAGGTACAGTATAGAATATTTTTATTTTTATTTTGCAAAGACAAACACCAAAGATCAGAGAGTTAAGTGATTTGCCCACAGTCGCGGTCATCAGTGCCAGGACCTGGATTTGAAGCATGTTCTCTGACTTCACAGCCTGACAGTCAACCATGGGTTACCGGTTTGATGACAAACCAGGGAAGCCATTCAGTAAGTAAACATCTAACTTGTTTCAAAGTCAGGTGGTCTAGAAGTAACATGTTAGTAACTAGCCTCTTCTGGATCACCATGCAAGTTTCCACCATGGAGTGCTGCTTGTTGGCTCTAACCTTGCTGGTTGCTTTATCCTATAAAGGGATCATCTGTGAGCCACCCTGGGATCTCTGGGTGATCAAGGAACAGAGAGAAGGGATTCTCATGGCTGTCATGACACTGCTCTAATACTCATTAGCTTGCTGAATTATCTCACTTCCCCACTGAAATGTAAACTTCTTAGGGCCAAGGACTATGACTTATTCATTGTGGTCCCAGAATTTAATACAATACTTGGCACATGGTGGCTCCTCAATAAACATTGGTTGAATTCATAAGGGGTGAAGGTTTTTTATGTAATGCTTCCCTATTTTATTTGTAAGTGATTACTCGCATGGAATTCATATTTTATATGAAAGTATAAAGAGGAATAGGGCCAATTCACTTATCTTGGTGTTGAGTAGTACACAAAGGCATTGCAATTCTAAAGGGTATTAACATCATCCAAGTGTTCTTTGTTTATAGTGACAAATCTACCAGGTATGGATTCAAACTGGAGGCTCTAAGAATCCAAGCAAAATGTATATATTTGAGGGTCACTGAAGGTAAAGGCAATGCTCTAATGGCATTGAGGAAAGTAGCCCATTTTGGTGAATATGAAGATAATGCTGTAGTAAAATGGAGATAATTTTGTGACAAAAAACACCAAAAATGATTAAACACAACCACAATTGATTCCATAAAGGTTGGAAGAGGTCACTGTCTTTCTCTGTTAAGTTCTGCCAAGGCACGTTTTCCTTGGTCTTCTCTGTCTCCCTGGATCCTTGGCTATCAGACATCCCTAGACCCAGAGTGGGGGTCTTGAATTCTGGGCAAGCAAAAGCTGAGGATGAAACGCTATGGTACAGACTTGGATCTCAGGGTGAGTGCTCTTGACCGGTGCACGTAGGTAAGAAGTCCACTCTCGGGCTAATGGGCTAGCACAGGCAAGACCCATAGCCTGTGGCTGAAAGCAGCAGTTCTTGTTGCTCTGCTGTCAGTAAATCACAGCGAGGATTTCTGATGTCACAACCTGGTGAGTTCACCTTCCTGGAACTGAAGAAGAGTCTTTAATGTAAGGGAGGAGAGAGTAGATCTGCTCACCAGTTTTGGGTACTCAGGATCTAATGGGTCCTGGAATCAAGAAGTGGGAAAGAGATCAGAAGCACTGGTGCTGTTGGAAGTTAGGGGTCATCCAGAGGCCCTCCCAGTTGTGCCGATTGGTGCAGACCATGGCTGGATGCCTGGCTTCTCCAGGTATTACCACCAAGTTTCAAACATGGCCGTAAAGGCCAAGCGTTCCTTCTTTCAGAAATTGTAGTTTCATTCTGCAGGGAAGAGGCCTGTGAGAAAATAAAGCACAAGGTCACGTCAAGGTTGGGTTCTGATAAGACTTTCCGGGGTCCTGACACTAGTTACAAAGCATAGACTCCACTTTAACTGTCCACTGTACACAAGGCCGGTGTGATGGCCGCCATTGCAAACAGCCCAATTTGGGCTTCAGAGGTTTTCTGGCCCTCACGAAAAGCACAGCATCCTGGCTGCTGGTTCTCAGAACCTGTTTCAGGCAGGATGTTGGAGTTGAATCAGGTCTGAATTAGGATACATTCGTAGTTTAGACTGGGTGAGGTCCTGGACACCTTCATTAGGAAATAAAGTCCATGTTTCTCTCACGTGCAGTGTCAATACAGAATTCTTCCAAAGTTGGATTTTCTTGTTTTTGCTTTTGGTTTTTTGGTACTGGGAATTGGACTCGGGTCCTTGTGCTTGCAAGGCAGGCCACCAAACCGCTGAGCTAAATCCCCAGCCCCTAAAGTTGGATTTTCTACACAGTCACACACGAAATCCTGGGGCCAGATCCCTGAGATCTTGCATCTCAGATCTTGACTTTTAGTAACCAGTTCCCGGCCTTGTGTAAGCTTTAAAATTAATTGATAATAAACTTATAAAACTTACCAAAGGTATAATCAACCCAATTTGATATTGTAAAATGCATTTTAGACTGGCCATTTTTGTATATGCTCTCTAATAAGAAACTTCTCTCTTGAAAACTAAGAGTAAGGATCCTATTTCAGCCATTAAGTAACAGAAGCATAACTTTATATCACAGCAGAAACCTTGGACATGGTGCAAAATGGGACTCTTAACTTTGGTCAGTCTCAGAATGGACTATATCCTCATCTCCGCACCCTCATTGGGGAAACCTGTGCTGTGCTTTTTGATGCGTTCACGGGTGTTATAGAATTTAGAGAAGACCGAGTTTCTCCTAGTGTTAGCGGACTGATAGTACTTACCAGTTAGTTAAATATGCAGTTACATTAGCAGTGCAAATGATTTGAGTTGCTACTCATAGAAATTAACTCTAACGACCTTAGATAACATCAGAATTTTCCAGTGAGCTCTAAGAACACTAATTCCCCAAGCTTGTTTTTGTTACTAAGCAGATTTGGGAAATATTTAGTAACTTCTATCTCTCTTGAAGACTTAGATTATGCAAGTTCTGACAAATTCTGTGCAAAGTAATTGTATTTCACTATGTTTAACTCAGTATGTTCCTAGTATTTCAATGTGAAGGTTTATCAGCATCATATAGAACTGATCCTACATTCAATAAATTTTGGGAATTTTGGACTAACAAATAAAATGGAGAAATATTCATTTCAAAATGTTGAACACTTTCTCCATCAAAATAAAAAGAGTTAAACAATTATTACTGCTTCATTACTATGTGTAAAAATTAATGTAGGCATTTTGGAAAGAAGGAAATGTACTCGTGTAAGACACAAATCATTCCATTACTAGGCTAATAATCTGGTTAGGAAGATACTTCTACCATACATAAAACAACATCAAACATTACTCAGTGCAATTTGATCTTCACTAATTTCCTCTAGGTACTTAGCTAAGTAATGCAGACTAGTATATATAGTAGCTGCAGAGAGGAAGACCAAATATTAGAATAATGAAAGAAGAAACCATGGAGAACATAGGACTTATTTTGTGGGGCAACAAAAATTTTGAAAGGTTGAGGGCACTTTGATTGAGGGCAGGAATAGCCCTTTGGCTCCCACAAGCAGGAAGTAAGGCAGCAAACAGTACTTTGGTACATTTTAATCATTTAATTCTAACATATCTTCGGGCCTTCACACTTAAGATCAGAACATTATAGAAGTGTAGTTCTCTTTCTTCATCCACTGCATCTTATTCATGGGAGGGCTTCAATAAATATTTGTCGACTATCTAAAAAATTATAAAGCAGAAAATTGTCAACATTAAAATGGAGTTTGCATCTGAGAATAATGTATAGTTGGATGCGTGGTGGCACACTCCTATAATCCCAGCTTGGGAGGCTGGAGGATTGCCATGAGTTCAAGGCCAGCCTGTCTCAAGACCAAACCAAACCAAACTAAGCAATGAATGATGGACTGAGGAGAATTAGGGTGTCTAGGCGTTGCACACCAGACTGAAGAGTAGGAAAGGGGAAATTAGTGAGGATTTTTAACAGTAGTGGATAGAACTTTTGAAAGCCCTAATTATGAAAAAACAAACTGGCAGCGACATACAGGTTGGAGTGAAGGAAAGATGAAATGATGGTCAGCTGAAATATTGTTAAAGCAATCTCATTTTGATGAAATGAGGATCGAGAAGCAAATTTGAAGCATTAAGTGTGTAAGGATGAAAAGCACAAGTAGTTTGACTTCTATATATCTGGCTGATAAGTAATTCAGTAGAAATATGAGTCAAAGATTATTTTAGTGTAGTAATATCTAAAATTTAGCACATGATTGCTATAAGTGGTACCTGGCACTTTGGGTAGTCACTCATTTAATCTCATTTATTCCCCACAATTCTGGGATTTGGAAGTGATTGGCAGCTCAGTTTTGCTGAGAAGATTCAAAGTTCAGAAATTTCCTCCAAGTTGCACTGTTCACAAGTAGCAGTCAGGATTGAGCTCGGTCCATTTCCAGAGCCAGTGCTCTTGGCCACAGTGCACCCTGGATGCAGAATGAATGTTCTTTCGACAGACAGAAATATTAGATGAAGAGATTGGTTTTTGGCCATTTTAATTTTGAGGGGATCATGAAATACATCATTGGAAAGGATGAGCATTGTCCCTGTAATAGCTAAAGTTTGTCTTAGAAAATGCCAAACTTTTCACACAGTCCAGTAATGTATTGCTTAAAGTGCAGCCACATCGGGGGTGGGGAGGAGGCCTTCTCTCGGGGGAAGGTGGAATATGGGGTGGGAACAGAAAACGCCTATTACAAGCCACCCAAGATCATAGCCCGAAGTTGCTACCCAAAGACAAGTGGCAGCTTGCTAAGAACAGCATGACATTCAGGAGTAGACAGACTGACCTTAGCGCTTGGAAAAGCTGCACAGTGAATGGCTTGCCCCCGTGCCCCCGGATTCTAAGGGCCACACAAAGGCTGTGTTGCACTTTCCTTCCTCTTGTCCCTCAGTCTCTGAGGACAGAGGACCTGTCCGGCCAGGAAACAACCACACAAAGCTCATGGGGATTAAATGCAGTATGATTACTGTAGGGTTTCTTTTTTCTTCATAGTTCTGTTTCTAGTCTTCAAGAAAGCCTGTTTGCTTTTGCTATGGTCACATTTACACTTTGCAGTGATTGAAATATTAATGAGAAGAAAGTATGCAAAAAGGTGTAGCCCCACACAATCATACAGTGAATTCCTGTGCCACGTGAAAAAGAGCAGTTTTAAAGGAAGAAAACACTTGGGCCAGGACTGCCAACATTTGAAATTGTTACTCATGCTTGATTTTCTTTCTTACTTTTCTTTTTAATGACTTTTTCTTTGAGGTTTTTTGGAAAAATCCATGGTAGGAACGATCATGAAATAATATAATTTGATTTTATATTATTACTGCGCATGGTATCAGGGTTGGATGCAACTGCCCTCAAACTCTCATTTGTTTGGAATTATTAATTATTCTGTGCTGAAGGAAAAAAGAAACCAAAACAAAGGAAAAGCCTGTAAATGGGTTTCCGGATCACTGTGGCACTGTGGTGTTTTTTTTTTGTGGTTGGGGGGGAATTGGGGACCGAACTCAGGACCTTGCACTTTGGAGGCAGACGTAGTGCCACTGAGCTACATCCCCGGCCCTCACTGTGGTTCTTTAAGGCTGCAGAATTCTGTTGTGTCTGAAGAGGACTTGGTTTTCCAGCTTTCAGTGATGACTTCTGTCCAGGTGTGGAGCAGTGTCGATGCCAGGCCTTTGCAGCAGGGTTTGGCACAGTACGCTAAGCAAACCTGACACCCTCACCTACACAAACGTGTCTTTGGCGTACGTCTTTGAAAACTTTAGTTTTTAATCGAACGTCAATTTATAAAAGTAACATTTGAGAATTGCAATGTGTAATGAAAGAATAGCAGTAAATATTTACAGAGGCAAAATTAACGCAATCACAGCAAAGCAAAAATTTAAAACTCTAAGGTAAGCAAACACTAAGATAAATATAGAAGACATATATGCATTGTACAAGCTACTACTGAATTCTTCCCTTAGGAAATAATATTGGCACTTGGAATATAGATTCCTATGCACAGGAAAAAAATATTGAATGTGTACTTTATAATAACCATTCTTGATAATGAAAATTGAACTAAAGTCTAAAAATCTTGCACCGAAGTTCTTATACAGTATTTCTAAATTTTCTAATTAGAAATATCTATTTGACAGTTCTTTCTGGTCATTTCTTCTCTCTTTTTCTGCAACTTTGTCTCTTCCCATTTGGTAGTAACTTACTTACCTTAAATCCAACATAATTTAAAGGCCATTCCATTGCAGGACTATAGTATATTCGGGCTTGACATTACGTTTTCTTTCTCTAGAAAATTTGTGCAGACATTAAACACTATGATGCCAGTGGGATAATAAAATTTGAGAGAAGGGATTTATCAATTTGAATATATTTAAGGATGCATACAGCCAAAATTTGAAAACATTCCTTTCCAAGATAGTATTCACATACACTCAAAAAACATTTCTTTTGTTCCTTCAGCTCTTTGGATCATTTACATCATAATTATGTTTTTGTTTATCATATAAACTCTAACTTGTTGGGGAAATTTGACCAATAATTTTTGCCTTGAGATGTATTAAACATGCACAAAACATTGCAAGTAGAAATTGAAATTCTCTCATGCTTTGTAAGTACAAAAGGTACATTATAAATACTGCAGTAAAGATGTTAAAGCAATGCACAATTAGATTTTGATATAAATACTAAACATTATTTAAATGAAAACTGCAGTAAGTTTATTCACTTGGAACTTTGGGCTTTTGTGTTTGTACATGTTTTCTTTTCTTTTTAGTTCTGGTGAGGTAAAGTGATACCTCATGAAATCTTTCTTTTGAATGTACAATGCACATCACACACACACACACACGCACACACACGCACGTACTCACACAGAGTCAAAGTCAATGGCAGTGGGTGGTTTATGTGAGGGCTGGTGTTGACGCCCTCTCCCAGAATAAGATAAATGTAAGTGGCAGAGAGCTCCTGGGGTCGCTGAACTCATTTTGTATTCAGCACTCTGCCCGGCCCTCTCTCATCTCTCTCTCCTTCTCTTTGTATGTTCCAGCCTACTTGAGTTTCTTTTTTCTTTTGTAGAACTTGGTTCTTTTGATGTGTTTCAGGGCACGCTCTGCGGCAAAGAGAACTTCCCAGGATTCGGAAACATAAACGCACAGGTCTGAAACAGCTACTGTACAAGGAGCCCGCCAGCACCAGGACAGCGCGGGGCTTTCTCTGCCCTTAAAATGGGAAAACCCTCGGGCGGGGGGCACAAGAAGGCACTGTATCCTATATGCACGATTTAAAAAGATACAGACTCTAAAATGTAATTGCAAAGTAAGCAGTTGGTGTGTTTTCAACCTGGGTTGCTCTCCTGATACGAATTTAACCTGAGATATTCCCATACGATTTTATATATTCCTTACTTCAAGCAAATCTCTCCTATGATATAAATGTCTTTGTTTTACTGAAATTGTGTATTAACATAGCTGAGAAGTTTTTGGTAGCACCTGATCCTTAGCTATCCTATTTCTCACCAATAGTTTCCATTTCAAACGATACAAGAAAGTGCAGTGCTTTAACTTTTTTTCTTGTTTATAAAAATTGCAAAAAAGAAAAAGGCACTGTAAGTACTATAAAGCTACTGTTAGAAGGCACCATCTATATTATTAGAAAGCCTAGATAGAAGGAGTTAATTATTTTATACTCCAGTATTTCTACTTTTAAAAATTAAAGAATATTTAATTAAACAATGTTATATTTTATTTAAAATATCTTTGTTTACTCACATATCATACTTTATATGACAAATCTTTCAGGACTAGGTCACTGAATTAGAACTTGGAACTGAAAATAAAAAAAGCAAACAGAAAATAAGGAAAAACAGTGCAGTTTATACAAAAACAAATACATTTAACTTAAAATTTTCAAATTTAAAATGATAGTTAAATTTAAATTTTGCCTAGGTCTCTAAGAGAACCCATTTATTCTTAAAATTAAAACAACTGGAGAAGCAAACAATTAGAAATTTGGTATTATTTTGTTTGCCCTAGAAAACCGGTCTATATAAATCACATGCAGTATTGACTTTTGTCTAAACAATTTAATTTACTGTACATGTATTGCCAGGCTTACTCAACAAATTGTTACTAGTCTAATAATATATCTCGGAAAAATAGAAATTTCACCAGCAACAATTATTTTCAACTACATTTGATTCAGTAAGTCCCGTGAATACTGATGTGTGTTTGTGGGGATTACATTCTATTCTCAGGAAATAATCAGCAATATCACTGAATTAACTCAGCATTTCCCAACTTGTTTTATGCATAGGTAACAAATTAGCCAGTTCATTGCCACAATTCCTTTTAACTTTGATATCTATAGCCTCAGCTCTAAAAGAAAGAGAAAAAATGATTCAATTACTCAAATATTGGTAAAATACATATTTTTCACAACAATATGGAAGATTATTTTAGCAAACTGGCAATAATTATAAAACAACCCTTATGCCTACAATGTATTGAGTTTCTTCATCATGTAACTGAGTTATTATTTATGAATATGATGCAAATATCTAATAACATTAGAAGTTAAACATTGGTATCAAATAATATGAAAAATGTTTCCAATATAGTAAAAGTTAGGAACTCATTATTCATTTAAATACATTAAATGTCATCTGAAAAGTTTAATGAAGACCATTTTACTTCAAACCCAAATCTTTAACACAATACACACAGAAGAACACAAAAGAAGGACATTTTCTCTTTTTTTGGTCTTTTTAAATTCATCATAAAGTAATCCTATTTCCTTCCTCAGTGTTATATACCATTTCCAGAATTAGAAGTTTCCACATTGAGCCTGAATTTGATAAGTCACACAGGTGCAAGTCAGGTATTGCAACGCTTTTCCACTTTATGGCACTGGCTGCCCACACAGGGCCATATAACCAGTCTCCTCATGTTTCTGTGTCAGTGAAAGCCACTTTTGAAGAAGCCACACATGGGGCCTCACATTTACCCAGGATTCTGCTATCACACTGCATGGTGCTGATTGTCATATCAAATATTTTAATTGTACTGGTAATGCTCCTTGCTGTGGCTATAATAATTTTTTTAAACCTTTTCCTTCTTTTCTACAGAGGTCTATTAAAAGAGAAATTTGGGATGACAGGTATCAGACTGACACCTACTGTACATAATAACTCAATCCCAGGAAACACCAGTGATTTTATTTTTAAAAATATGTTAGCCTTTTGAAATGGATTGGTGAATCTAGATCTGCCGATATTTCCACTTATTTGACTGACTGCTAAAATAAGACTTTGTAGTATTCCACTGAAAATTACTACAGCCATGTTTACCTGGGGAAATAGATACCTATGAATGAATGTTTTTAAAACAAATGTAGGAATTGGATTACAAATTAGTTGACTGAATTCTTTTTAAAGTAAACTTTTAATTACATAAAAGCTCAGGAGGATATGTAAGTGTTTGAGACCCCACATCTCACTAAATAATATAGATGATTACCATTATTAAGCAAATTACCAGGTAAACATGTAGCATATTTCATTGACCAGACTTATACAGTAGTTTAGTTTTTCAAGCTTTAATTATCAAAGTCCAAAAATTTTGTGTCTATTTATTTTAAAAGTAGTCACTTGACTCAATTTAATATTCACTGTTCCTTTGTTATGGTTCCCACCTCCTTACCCAAATACCCTCTTTAGAGATAATATAGAGATTTTTCACTGAAAACCCAAACCACATATACATAGCAGGCTGGGGTGCAGGGGTGTGGCTCAGTGGGAGAGCAATTGCCTAGCATGTTCAGGGCCTGGGGTTTAATCCTCACTCTTCAAAAAATAAAACAAATCAACACAGAACAACAGGCCCATATTACAGGTTCCACTTGGGCTTTTTGCCATTTCCTAGGTTTCCTAGAGAACATTTAGTTCATCCCTATCATTTTATAAAGGAGAGAGTCTCGAAGCGTTGGTGACGGCTGTCATTCACACTGGAAACAAAGCTGGCCCTCAGTGAGATGTGTGGACTGAAAGAACTGATGGAAAGTCACACATGTGAGTACAATGCTGTGCTGTTTACCACCCTGCACTGCAATGACAACTTGTTTATAGTAAGTGTCATTTGTAGACAATACTTCACGGCCCTGACAATACTAGGAGAATTGTTTGCAGACCCTTTCACTTGTAGAAAGAAGTTAACAAGAGAAATGAGACAGAGAATCTTCAAAATGTTTTGCCCAAGACCAGATTGCAACACAGGGAAATTGTGAGATTTGATCTGTTTTCTGACCCTCGGTGAGAAATCACCCTACCAAACTGCCTCTCTCTCTCTCTCTCTCTCTCTCTCTCTC